GCAGGTTCAAAAGATTTCAGAGAACAGAGTTCACTGGAGGCGTGCTAGTGAAGCCCTATGTTCCATTAGGAACCCAAGGGACTAATAATAATAATAACTTACAAGTAGTATAACTATTAATCTAAAAATATCAACCGATGAGGTGATAAATGATATGCATTTAGTCATCCAGGAAAACATTGATTTTCGAATGACGATACGAGTTTTGCAAAGATAACATAAACATCAGATATCTGATGTAGATATACGTAAATAGGATACCAAGGGTAGTACATCCTGCCAGAATGATAATACTAGGCAAATTGGTTATTTTCTATATTTACTTTACTCCCAAGTGATGTACCATAAGAAGTAAATACATGAGAGAGTCATAAAATATTTGACTACGAGTGAATCATTGATTTCGATATCAAACAAACATCTTTTAGGCATTTTATGTATACTTAGAGTGTATGGAGATTTTTGATGATACCTAGTGGAAACTATGAAACAACCTAAGTTACTGCACTTCAACGCAAATATGCGATAAATCCATTCCAATATAAGTGAGAGAGCGAATTCAGTTGCTATTGCTTCCTAGAATAAAAGTACGTAAGTTATATTGAAAAGAAACTTCTATGGATATGGCTATACAGAAACCTTATATGACGAAACATGCTCACTGAGTCATCTGACTATCTGAGACAGCTGTAGTTTGACAGACCGGGTGATGATTGAAGGTGAGATGGAAATCTGGACCGCGGCCGGATTCGAACCAGCAACCGCCGGGTTACCGGTATGCTTCTCTACTAACTGAGCTATGAGGTCCAACTGGTGACCAGAATTTTGTTTCACTTCAATCATCAAGGGTTTTGCCCAATTAACGTGTGAATTCATAACGCGTTACTACCACTTGATCGTATTCACGCTGGCTGCCTAGTCAGTCAGGACTTCTCATTCCAATCGAAATCTAACTGAAAAAAGATTCTTTTTCGACGATATCACTTTCTATAACTGTACAATATTATTCATATATACCAAAAACACAAAATATGTCTGCTATTGAACAATAAGATATAGTTATATTATTAGGTTAGCTAGTGATAAAAAGTGGAAGTCAAGAATGGAAAATAGTTGCGCAATAATCTTTTGCACAATGGTAATAATGAGAAAGGGAAGGAGTTCGACATGAGTGATATTATCGACGATGAATTCCACAAACTACGGAAAATTCCCATACAAAATGTATAATAATGCAGATTTATAGAGAAAAACTTGAAACTAAAAAGAAGAACACGGATCTAGTACGTACAGCTCCCAAGAAGACTGTTTATGAACATTGGTTTCAAAGGTGATACGACACCAGAGATCCTAACGAATAAGCCATCTAAATCGTTGAAGAGGAGAAAATTCTCTCCGAAGCTACAGATCAGCTTCTTTAGTCAGCAGTTACTTCCGGGGATTGTCAAGAACAAGTTTCCGCTTTGGGCAACCTCAATGTGTATCTACAAATTTACATACTTCTGTGGAGTTGGTCGCACAAAGCGCGCACTCTGAGCAATATTCTGGATGGTTGTCAAGGAGAGAATGTAATGCTACTTCACGTCAGCGGCAAGATGGATCAATGAAACGAAATTTTATCTCGACAGTTTCTGTCCGGTTCAGTATGAACGAGGTCTAGGTACGTGCTTATTTAATCGAATTCAAAGAATATGTACAGCTGAGACCCCAAGTCTCACAGTGAACGCCTCCATTATTCAACCACCAAGTCGAAGTTCCATAATTCACAGTTTCCGACTTTTGTCAATTCGCGATTTAGTACGACAATTTAGCAAAGTCTTCAGTTAGCATTTGCTTCACCTCCAACTGATTGAACCCACAGAATCATCAGCGTTTACCTATTGAATATCGTAGACTTTGAAGTATTTTAGCTGTTCGTATAATTTGAGTTTAAAAGTAGACAAAGTGCTATACATTTCAACTGTTCAAGCAGCATCGTTTCAACTACAGGCGGCGGCAACGATGATGATGTCAAAGCAAGGATCGGAAAGACAACGAGATAGGCCTTCATTAATCTGAAATCAGTGTAGAGATCTACTGTACTCAGCAAAAAGAACAACATCCGGATTTTCAACACCAATATCTAGTCAGTGCTTCTATATGGTTCAGAAACTTGGCGTGTTACGAAAGGCATTTCCAACAAACTACAGACATTCTTCAACAACTGCCTACACTGGCTCGTTACTGAAGGTCAGATGGCCAGAATAATAAGAATAAGCAACAAAGAACTCTGGCAACGAACCAACCAAGAAGCTATCGCTCAATAAATATGCAGAAGGAAGTGTAGATGGATTGGGAATGCACTGAGAAGACCATTAGAAGACATCATGAGCCAGGTCAGGCCCTCGAGTGGAATGCAAAGGGTGACATGGAGGAGATGGTGTGATGAAGAAATGAAAGCTTGTAGAGAGTGATGTAGCCTGTTTGAAAAGACTGCAGAGAAGAGGGTGCAATGGAGATGTGCTATTGATGCCATATGTTCCACTAGGAACCCAAAGGATATATAATAATAATAATAATAATAATACGTTGGTGCTATATTGATAAATACAATTGTATAACTACAGAAAATGATGTATCTTCATTGAATAGTCTCTTCTTCACACAGAAACTTGTATCCACTAGAAGCATATGGTGAAATATACAACAGAATTTTACTCTATTCAGTTATGAACTGATAAGAGGTAGTGTAGAAATACAAAATATTGGTAGTACAAGCTATCAAATATATCATTTTGTGACTTTCTTGATTTACGGTAGAAAACATCTTTAGCAAAGAATAACAACTTCCAACTATTATTACACAAAAGAGACATATTACCTTGATAGCAGGATCAACTTGTACTGGTATTACTCCCCGAAAAAACTCATTAAAACAGAAATCTATGGAAGTATAACAACCAAGAAAGTAGTTTTATTCAACATAACCTACAACAGAATGAAAGTGCTTGAATAACCAAATAAAAGCTTACTGTTATGCAAGAAGGAGCTTATCAAATCGCCAAACTAATCCAAATATACACGAGAAACTGTCGATGAATATTAAAGAAGCTGTACAAGTACTCATTTCCAGTCGAATCCAGTTCTTATATGACACGAACAAGTCAAAGAATATACATCGAAAATAAGATGTTCAGAACGTTCTTATACATATTTTCCAACATATCTGAAACTTAAGGTCCTATACACGTCCAACTATTATTTATTATTGGAACACAAACATGATACAGTAGCGGCACCAAAAAATGCGCCACATAAAATAGTATAATAATAATGTAAGGAGATAAACAATGGGGAGTAGATAAGTGAGGAAAAAAACGTTAAAAAATAACATGATCAGGAAAGGGGTCCAGTAAGATACATTCAAAACAAGACATTCATTACTTTTCAGAAGCAGAAGACAGAAGGAAGCTACAGAATAACCATCATTAGTTTCCATTATGAGCCACTCAGTTGCATCGTCTCTTGGACCCCACTCAGAGAGTCGTAATGCACCAACAGGTGCTAACCCGATACAACTATCCTTCATCTAACGGTGTCATGTCATGCAGTGACGACGCCACCGCTTCTTCCATCCACTTCCAGGACTAGCAAACAATGAATGGTGTGGAAGTCGTTGGGACGACATGAGTAACATATGTTCAAACCACTGACCCCGGTGTTTACAGATGGCTTCACTTGACGATCTGCATCATGCCCAAACACACGATGTCATGCTTTGGAATTACTTACGTAGTGTTGTCACTCGACACAAGCGATCCTATGGAGACAACGATCATCGAACATACAAAGTCGCCGAACATCCTCAGCTCGAAGAGGACAGGTTTCACAAGTGTTGAGCAGAACTGCACGCAACAAAGCATTGTAAACCCGACAGTTAACGGTCAGACTAACGTCATGACGTTGCCAACGCGGCCCAGATTGAAGTATGATACTCTGGCTTTCGATATGCGTTTGGAAATTTCACCACTCCCACCTCCACCAGTACACCCAAAACTACCTAGATTTACAAATTTTTCAACTACTTCCAACGGCTCGCCACCATAGGTGAGCGCCGGCAAAGGCTCCTTTCAATCTTGTAAAAGTACTTTTCACTTCAATGGTGTAAAGCACGTATCATACTTACGGACCCGTGTTCAGTAGTGTACTTGTTCAGAGAATGTTTCGTGATTGGTATGATTTCAGAATATAAAAATCGCTTGAAAGTAATACAGGGGGAATATGAGTTTAGATCCTTTGGGCTTCACTGAGTTTGCTGCACTAAGATATTTCAAGCTTGACGATAATATTCACAAATATATGTTTGTAAGTTTGGCATAACATGGATGAATTTTACAGCAGAAAAGTGGAGTAGTTTTTTCGAAATCCTTAAGAAGACAGACCTGGCTTTGCTATATATACACAAAATCTGTTGACCCCAAATAAAACCACATATTATCTGACTGATTTTTAGATCAATTGCGAAAACATATAAACAAGAATAATTTCCTTGCAGAGATTTACTGATTTCAAGTTGGTATTCATCATGGACTGACATTGGTTAAAGAACTATCGTAAACCTGGGAGCACTGGGCAGCTGTTTCATCTCATTGGGGGTACTTCTCAGCGGTGCGCACCAATGACCCGAACATGGATAGAACATAGGACCTTCAGGTCCACGATAAAAAGTACTTTGCCACTGAGTTCCTGAGGCAGGAACCCAACTTCAGTTTGAAATACAGAGTGATCTACATCCAATGACGTTGTTGAGTGCCTATCGACTAGTGTTTCCAGGTTTTCTACGGTTCTTCGATTTCTGTCCTCAACGAATACCAACTTGAAAAATAATATAGATTGAAGAGTTTTACTACTGAAATTAGAACAGTAGTTAAAGAAATGCGTTAAAATATTGTAAGGTTAAAAGAAATACCACGGTTGTTAAGCGACAAAAAGTATTGCGAATAAAAATGTCAATATCATACCTGAGCTTTTAGACCTTGCACACCTCCAACCTGAAATTAAATCGAAAGACTTTTATTCCCATTAACTCAAGAAATACTACATTATAAGTGAAAAATGTATGGTATAATAGTAAAAGTTTCTTGTTTCCATTTGAGTAATAAAAAATATAACCAGATAATAAAAACTATTAATTCAATGGTTTTTAAGAAGTAATCATCTAGTGAAGTGACCAACAGAATAATATGTAATGCGCGAATGATAATAATGCAACGAGACACTTGGACTGGATACGAAAACCAACTGTTCTTCCTCACTGAGCCGCGAAAATCGAAAGACAAAGATCGGCCTATGACTGTAAGGAAGACACTTTATTCAACAGAAATCCATCCTTTATACACAGTTCTCACAAACATATAAAACCACAAGGTCATAAGCTAGATACTTATTTTGATTGGTCAACTGTAGGACAAAATTGTCCAATTACGTTTTCCCTGACCGCACAGTAAAATGAAATCTAAAACTTTTACCTTAGCCGCTGATGACATAGAATGCTGATTTCGATTTAGGTCACTTTTGGACATCTAGAAACTAAGACAAACAAGCTCAGATATCCATGTAAAATTTTACTCCATGATATCATTTGCTGATGAGAACCACCAAGCACAAAACCTAGATCTTCCCGGTTGACTTTAGGAACAATTGAACGAAATGAACTTATCCACTCTGAACACACTTGTAAAGTAGTCAATAAGCCATAACTATTGCTCTGAGGCTAGTGATACTACTTGGGTGCTCAAACCTCAGGAGGTAGAGCGGGGCTCGAGACTCATCACCCAATGGTTGACAGCCATCTCCCTAAACCACTGAGGGACAACTCCACTACAGGTTCGAGTCAACTGGTGGCCGCAGAATCAAGTCGGGTGGAGTAACTCAGAGGATTATATATATATATATATATATATATATATATATATATATATATATATATATATAACATCGTTCTAGTTACGTGAACAAGCATCGTATCCCTTTATTAACACCATATACTTTTACCTGCATAGTATACATCATGTTGCCGTTATACTCCACACCCCAACGATAATTTATTTCACTCAGCAGAAATCGAGGATTCAATTGTGAAATTAATTAATTACCCATTTTTCAAACCCAAAAATTGGCAACGCTTGAACAATTCGTCAACAAAGCTGATCATTTCTATGGCATAACAAAGGAGAATAATTATGAACTTCATTATCTGAATTGCTGTTGAACAGTATCACAGATGGATGAGAACAGTTTCAATACTTGGATATCTGTGCTGTTTAATTAAGACTGAACAATCTGTATGTTGTAATGAAGTAGCAAACTCTAGTAGAGGTAAAGATGTGGGTAGGCTTCGGGTAGTGGATATGTTAAGTTTGGGTATCAAAGTTCCAAATTTGATCTTTCTCAATAAAAAAATGCTCTACAATTGACTTGGTTGGAGCTAGTAGTCCAATGCGGAACGCATGTTTCGGCCTATTCAAAATTCGTCCGCCGGATGTAAGTGTATCCCAGTGGGATTCACACCTAGTACCCATCGCTTCAAATACCAAAGCGTTATCCACTAGACGACTGAGGAGAGTAGTCACCCCTTGTACAACGGGTATAAGTTATTATTATTTGTTGATACTTGCAATCATCCGTTGTTGTACTGGATGGAATTGATCAACATCTACTGGCATATGGGCTTCTACGGAGATACCTCGATACTGCTTGAATATTTATTGATGAGTGGTATTTGAAACGATTGTTTCAGGGTTCGAGTCTCAGTGGGGACAACACCGCTCACTGAAGTGCAGGTACATCCAGCTGACGAGTCTTAGACAGGACGAAACGTAAGTCCTTCTTATTAGGTAGGTGCTTGATATACGAATTATCAGTAGCAATAAATGAATACACTCACCATTCGAACTGTGCATGTATGCTGAATACATGTTGCTCTATGAATCACATTTCCAGAAGCAGTTGGTTGTGTATATCGCTGAATATAAGAAATAATTTTTTTACGTTCATGTGGACCTGCAGCTGATTCCTCTTTTAACCACTGATCACGAAAGAAGTCAATCAATTGATTCGATAAACGTCGTTCATCATCTGGATTATCACAGTCGGATGATCCAAATCGAAACATGTAATTGACCACTAGAAGTAGACGATAGTAAAAAAATGAGTAGCTTAACACGTATCCACAAAATAGAATTCAAATGAAAGTAAAAACAGCTACAGAAGTGATAAACATTTATTTTCCCACAGACTTTAAATCATATGTAACCATATGTAAAAGAGTGATTACTTTCAATGCGGAGTACGAGTAGGATTTAGCGATTTGATTGGCAAGTACAAGGCTGAGATACAACAACAAGCGTAAGAAGAGAATCAACCAATTATGTCAAAAATCACATTTCCCATTAGTAGAAAATTCAATACCCAACAGGTTCTATCAAATGAAAATGGATATCAACTAAGGAATCCTGAGAAAAATGAAAGAGCTTCGTCATGATACACCTTGACAAAGGTGCTGGAATAGTACTTCTGAACAAATGTAATTATATTGATAAGCGTTAACCCATTCTATTAGATAAAAACAAATTTTCAAAATAGACAATTCAGAAAGACCCCTACCTAAAAAATAGAGTGTTAGTTATCCAAGACATAGAAGAAGATGAAAGATGAACTGAACTTTACGCGAACAACTTCACTCGACAGGTTCCTCAATTCATAGGGTGTACGGTTAACATAGAGTGCACAAAGAAAGTATTTCCTTTTCGTTTGACACTAGAAATGACTAATTTGACGTAAAATTAAGTCTCAAAATAGTTCGTTAAGATATGGGAACCAGTAAAGAATGAAATTTTGAGGCATTGCCTGAGTGATACATTTCACTTTATTGATTTAATCAAGAATGTTAAACAGTCAGGAAAGAGGATGATTTCTCTGGATGTCATCTATTTATTTGCAAATGTCCCACTAACGGGAACTATTTATTTTCTGTTTGACTTCATTGAATCCCATAAGAAAAAAATACTGGTGTCCCAAATCCCTATTTAAAGGAACTTCTCAGGTGCCAGTGGGATCACCTCAAGAACACCTCCCAACTGACTGCTTTATGGCAAAGCTAGAAAATACAACGTCATGAAAAATATTCAGCGAGCTTCATATCTACAAAAGATATGTAGATAATACCTTTTTTTATTTGTGACAAGAATAAGAATCTCAAAAACCTGCTTCATACTTTGAATAGTGTTCTTTACTTTATCACATTCAATCATTAAGCAGAATCAAACACGAAATTTCACTTCCTTGATGTCCAACTTCAAAGAAAAATGACAATTTAATCCAGAGATCCATTTAAAAAAAGCCTACTTGGAACGGACAGTTTATTAATTTTCAAAGCTGTGTCCTCTTAAGCAGAAAGTAAAATCGTATCAATTCCCATTTCCCTAATAATACGAAGAATATGCATGAAGGATACCACCGAAGGTGAACTGAATAACTTAGAAGAAATCCTGATAGAAAATGGAAATTTACATATGTAAGAATCTAAAGCTAAAAAAATGCCACGTAACGATTGCATGCTGCTCCGCAAAAAGATTTTACTGTTGAACCTCAAGTTCAAGAGAGATACTGCAAACAGATGTACTTATAAAGAGACTATCGGTATCCATAAACAGAACATTCTTTGCCGGTAATCTCACAATCATATTCTCTTGGCAGAAACTCATTCATCAGTATACAAAGAATAAGCTAGAGCATTGGACCACATCATTGTTTGTGTACATTAGTTAACTTACTCCTGTAGAGCCGAGTATATCAGTTGGACCATGTGCTTGCGAACACTATCCAAGTTGACTGATAAGGAGAGAACGGAAATGTATATTCAGCGCTGTAACAGAACACTTAGTAAACCCAGGACATTTGATTCTTATTGATAAATTCTTCAAAATTTTGTACAAAGTATGACCAAGCCACTCGAAAGGAATAAGGCTAAGATAACTAGGCACAGCTGAAGCACTGGCAGTTCAAGAAAGTATATACAATCTCTTTCTTTGCCATAATCATCGTAGAGGCTCGATTACTCTAGGTAATTCCCGTATGATACAACTATTTTTATTCTGTAATCATCTTATTTATTTTCCTATTTTAAACCCCTATAAACATTATGTACCATTCCTTTCCTTCATACAATTTATATTGATCTTTGACCGGAAATTATCCTCGAATGTTCTATCGGAGGGAAAATGTTTTCTTCCCTGAAATCGTCTTCTGTCTTTCCCTATGATTAAATAAGTTTGTTAAGATATTTGAAGAAAATCAAAACGATACATAGAAAATACACAAACTATTGAATGCTCGCGTCAATTTTCAACCTACCTATAAAACCACCAGTTTAATATATATATATATATATATATATATATATATATATATATATATATATATATATATATTGGTAGTGAAGATTGAAAGTTTTAAGCAAAGTGTAAAATAGTCTAAGACTTCTGAGGACCTTAGAATCTTACGACGAGCAATTTGCTGTGAAAATCGAGGTTGAGGATCACTGGATTCCGACACAGAAGCTGAATGATGACGTGCTTGATGTGAAGCCTGACGATCCTACATTCGACTCCTGCCAAGGTCGTATGTGAGCACTACTGAGGAGTCCCACGATAGGGACGAAATAGCTGTTCAATGCTGAAAGGTTTCAAATGATTCTGGAACTGACACCAATCTGTTATGAATATCAACTTGAAATCGACAAATCCACTAAACCTCCAAATGGAAATACTGTTTTCGTAAATACCCTATATCAGATACACACTGTAGTGATGGCTGATATGCGAAGAAAGAATTCTTGAACAAAGTACAGTACATATTTTAATCGGCAATATACAAGTGAACTTTAAGAAACTGTTATTTACTGTAAAGTTATCTGTAGTTGTAATTGGTTGAAACTGGATTTATGGCAGCCTCCGATATATAACTCAGTATATACTTTCATGTTCGTTTGTGATTTCGAAACAATTAACTATGCTTCAATGCTAGGTGACTGAAATCAATTGACTGTTCCTAATGATATTCGGATGACAATGGACAATAATATTGTGCCACTGTGTGATGAATCTGTCAGGTAAACTAACACAGACTGTACCTACTTTAGTTAACATTGCATTAAGAAGCAGGCGATGATCAAGTAAGTGTAACACATGCCCCAGCCTTCGTAGTCAATGAAAGTTCACACCAACCACAGCTGACTTCTCTTTCCTTCCTAAAACTGTACACCAGACCTTTGCGTTACCAACATGGAGACATCAAATATAAGGGGTTTACTACACTGTCAACCGACAGGTTATACTTTTTTGTGAAGAATTCTGAAAATCATTCATGAAGCCATCTACGCACAACACAAATATGATTTGGGAAGAATAAGAAAGTGAGGGAGACGGTTAAGAACTAATACAAATGAAGTTAACAATGAAAGCATACATGGTTTCTCATTTGGTAACGGTGGTTTTGGAGGTTCAGCATCAATGACGGCCAGATTTGATCCATCTGAATCGACATAATCTAAAGGGTCTTTCATTTCACTAGCTTCAACACTTAAAGTATCTACACAATCTGGATTCAGTTGAGATATAGGATAACTGGAAATAATGAGACGATTCGAAGGGGAACCATTGGAAGTATTCAGAGATGGATCACTTTCATTTGGGTATTCTGTATGATCATTGTCATTGATCGACTTCGTATTCATTTGATCAGATCGACTGATTATAACTCGACTCAAATCTGGTCCTGTACCATCTGGTAGTGAAGGCGCTAGTATAACCTAGATAAAATAAAACAATAAGTAGATAAAAGATAATATAAAATACAATTAAATCACGTCTTTCAAATGAACTGCAAATAATCTAGCAGGTCGGGAAAATTCTCTGAAAGAGCACAAAGCGAAAGGGTGGTGTGCACAAAAGCTATATGCAAACTCGTGCAGTAGACAACGAGTCAGACATTATCATATGCAAGTTAAGGATATTTCATGGTTGCCCAGATAACAGTTGGTGGAGTGGGGTTTGAACTCCCCAGCCAACACTTGCCTAAACCAATGAGCCACAGAACAAGAAAATATTGCCCACGAAAAATTTCATGCAGGATAAATCAATACTTAGTACATCATAACTGAAATTATGGTAAGCGCTGTGAATTGAATTACTATACGTATAGTTTATCAGTGAACAGCCTACGAGCCATGTATCTGAACCCTCAACAATTCTACTTGAATGCAGTAACAATATTTCAATTACTGGTGAGGTCTGGTTCGATCCACATGACTTAAATAATCCCAATTTACGGTAAGATATATACTATTCAGTAACATGAATGGTGCTCGCTAGCCAGAACAACGTGATCTAAACACAGGAAGGGGAGTTTCCATCATTTGATATCTAGCTCGTCAGCAATGTAACCGGATACATTCAACTAAAATGACCGAATTGTTTAAACTACCTAAATTCTGGCTAGCTACTGGAGTGAACTGGCCGTATCTAGGATCAAATCGGTTGTTTGCAAAATACACATTCCATGGTGAGAAATATCACTGTGATTTGCAATGGTTAATCAAAATAATCAGATTATGTAATCATGTAATGCTGGCATCAGAAATAGCATCAAAGATGGGATTTTTCAGCAAAGATTGCATATTTTTCAAACGCTTAATTTGACAGAAAGTTGTACTGAATATCTTCAAAATAGTCTCCAAAATATACTAATGATATTCTTAATAAATACACAGAACATATAGCGGCTAAACAACGAATGCTGAGAAGACATTGTCAATCATGATCCAAAGTTCTATTTTATCAAAATAGTCTTATGTAGCCATATCTGGCAACTTATCAGTAAGTTGGTCAATTGAAGGAAGTAGTAATAATGAAGCAAAATCTTGTTTTAGAAGTACATTTCTCCCTATGCAAAGCCTCATTTTTCGTATTGAGATAGTATCTTTGAATACAGAGGTGATAGATTACTCACAAAACATTCGGAATAACAGAGCAGTTGTTCATTTCTCTCATCTTCCGTGCAAACGAATATTGCTGAGGAGTCCCATACTAGGACGAAACAGCTGTCCAGTGCTCCCAGACTTTCAATGGTTCCCCAAATGATATCAGTCCATGATGAATACTACTTCTAAATTAAAAATCCCTATTCATTTCAAAAATATATTACTCTCTAGTGCTCTGCTCATTAGTGACTTGCTTCCAGATGGATATCAGGAAGCTGTAATGAGAAGCCGTGACCTGTGGGGTCAACCAGTTGGAAGTGAAGTGGATGCTAACTTAAGACCTTGGGTCATAGTCGCGCTATGTCGTGAATTGACAGAAGTTGGAAATTGTGAACCACTGGCTGAATGCTTAACGCGTTTACCGTGAAACCTAAAGGTCCTGAGTTCGATCTCTAGCCGGGTCGTGGGTGCTTACTGCTGAGGAGTCCCATACTAGTTGGATGAAACAGGTGTCCAGTGCTCCCAGATTTCCAATGGTTCCCCAACTGATGTCAGTCCATGATGAATACTACTTCTGAATATATCACAATGAGATTTTGATTTAGAAATGTCACTGTTTGGGAAGTGCTTTCTTAAAAACGACAAACTCCGTACATATACAAGAGTTGGGATAAATGTATGGTTTTTAAAAGAATATCAAAAATAAAGGTGTGGTGTATTTATTAGGTTATTATTATTATTATTGTTACTACCACTATTGTTAATCGACACGAGGCGGATAAAGTGAAAATCAACATTTGAAGTCATTGGCCGATGGGGTAAAATTCTTGAGCTACATCGAATTTTCATCTGTGCTGCTGTACGCTCAGCATACACCCCTTTGGATAGTTTAATGATTCGAAGATTCAATCACGTTATCTTATGCTTGACCTAGTATATTCTTTGAACAATGCAAGAACAAAGACAATGGCAGAATAAAATGACCTCATTTCATTTCATCGCCTTTCATCAGCTGCAAACAGCTCAAGACTGAAATGAATTATTAATAGTAATAGTAATATAACATACTTTAAACACGCAGAACTAAACGGAGATTTGAAATCCAGGATTAACAATAAGGTGAAACAAGTAAAAGAATTCGGGATAATTGAGAAGGCTCTTACAGAGAACGGTTACCCGAAGAAATTCATTATGAATCATGGAAAAGAACTGTTTTCCTTCGTCTAGAATTCAAAGGTGATGAGACATCTGAAAGAATGGACAGAAGAATGAAAGCTGCACTGAGAAGCTTCTCTGCTGCCAGACTGATCTCACTTTACAGTACATTGTGGTCAATAACACAGTCGAAAGTAGACAAATATACATCTCACGTCACCTTCAACTGGGTATATCAATTCATCTGTGCTTGTAGAAGCAAGTAAATAGGATGGACCGAAAGCAAAGTGTCTACTCTATTTTATGCACATATTTCGAGAAATCTGTGTCTGAATGGTAGAAAGATCTTTAAAAGCGTAATCGCCAGGCATCTGATAGAAACAGGACATCAAATAGATGTTTCTCAATCCTTTAGGATAATCAATAAACAAAGAACACCATGTTTATTACAGTTCTGGTGAAGCTCTCGCTATCAAACACTTTCAACCTGACCTGTGTACTCAGGAGACAGTAATTAACCTTTCTTTACCTCTGTAAATATATATAAATTTTGTATATGTATGTACACAGTCCTCCCTTTGCTTTTGATTGCATCATCTCTTCATTAATTACTTACTGGATACTAATCACTTAACAATTTTCAAGTTTGGCATGAATTAAACAGAAAGCTGAGTCCTTTCATATTACAGCAAACTAGGTAGATAAATTTGAATTTGTAAGGAACTCCTTAAAGATACACAGAATTTAAGACTTGTGCACTTTACAACGGCTAGGTCAACAGAAGATATCTCCAGAACGATCATACAGTAGCCAACTTAAATTAACGGCACATTAATTTGTAAGTACCCAGTAGGAATATATATATAAAAAAATCATAATAGAGATAATTAAATTCATAAGGATGTAACAGAAGTAAACATATGAATTTATTGCTCAGTGAACAGTTAGCAAGTAGTACTTTCAACCTCAAGAAAACTAATGTTCAGAGTCTCCTAGCAACTACTTTCAACCAATCAATATCAATCAAAGTGCACAGTGATGTTGAGTTTCATAGCTTGGTGATCAAATTACAAAATGATCGGTGGCACTCAGTAAACATTTGGGATTCAACAATATGGTATTGGTTCCTCTTTAGTAATCAACCAAATAATGTCATCCAGTCCTATAACACATTAAGTGCAATTCCAACAGCCCGATGGTAAGATCTCGGACAGGAGTAGTAAGCAATGCGGGTTAGGACTTTTGAGTTTCCTTTGCTGATGAATACTAACACATAAGAAACACAGGTCAGAGGTTCATCGCTGACTGCTTTCAACCAGCGAGCTAAAGTTTTGGGTGAAAAAAGATAAGTGAGGCCCCTTCAATAGATGTGTGTACATGAGGGTTAGATTTATAGACAAATAAACGGAAATCTTTAGATTTGTATCCACTAACCACAAGCGAAAATTCAGTACATGTCTTCAAAAGAAAGATCTACTCAAGTATCTTGATGCAACAGAATAGGAGTGAGCTCGAAAAGTACTGGTCAGAAAGTTTTGCATCTGGAGTTGACAGGTACTGCATGAAAAATTCACGGCAGTAAACACCACGAGATGCCAAGTACCAAAGAACAAAATCTGATACCCGTTGCACAAGAGGTGGCTCTCGTGTACCGGTGGATAAAGACTTGGCGTTTGAACCGATGGGTAATAGGTTCCAGTGTCAGAGGGAAAAACATCACTCACTGAAATAAAGGCACATCCAACTCAGGAGCCCTAAACAGGACGAAACGCGCGTCCTGGATTCCACTGCTAGCCACCAAGTAGACTATAAAAAAAGTAGGAATAAAATTCGAATCACCAAGTGTTCAGGAAAGACCCACTGCTTGAGAAGCTCCAATTCAATGCAAATATATAGACAGAAATTCTAATACATAGACTGACTGGAATTGTTAAAACTTCCTATGATCTCTAGATCACACCTGATTATATTTTAGCTGGTATACCGTTGCTACTGAAACAGAATACATCCAAAGTACTACCAAACAATCTAGCAGACATAATGCTGATTAGAAAGGATACAAGTAAAGTAAATATGCAACCTAATTTTATTGCATTCAGTTTTATTGGTGTGAAAGGAAATGCATTAGAAGTCCTGTCCTTGAACATTTAATCGATTCCAGCCATTCAACCATCCACTGACAATGATTTTTAGGTTGTCTATCGAATTCATTCAAACATCTCACGTTTCCTAAATGTTTAACTTCTAAAAGCAGCAGAGGTCTTGGTTACCCATGAATTGAAGTCAAAATGACTTTTGTGTACAAAAGAATTATGTACAGTCATTGTCTCTACCTTGGGGTCTTAACTTATTTTAGTCTTGATGTGCTTCATTCTTTTTTTCATTTTTTCAACTCCCCCTATAGTTAGCTTGGTTTTTGTACTCTTATACAGTCATTTTCATTTTTATTTTAACACTTAATAGTGAAATAGTGGAGAATATTTGTAGCTCAGGTGGATGGTCTTGGTTGTATTGTGTTCTCTTAGCTGGGTTGTTTAATCGTGAAGCTTTCATCGTCTTGCTTGACGACATCATCAGCACTAACTTCAGTATGAAGGACGATGAAAGCTTCAAGATTAAATAACCCAGCTTAGAGAACACAATACAACCAAGACACTCAATAGTTTTCGGTGTTATTTCATTTGATTTTCCTAATAATCGCAACTTTGAACAAAATATTTTCAAATTATTTCAATTAACTTCCTGTCTCATTTATATTACCTAATCCTTTGATTGTTTAATAACTCAACCACGTTTTCACCCTTTTGTAATGTATATGCATCTTATAAACGATTTAAAAACCTTACGTAACCCCTTTTGTTATCATTCAACTAGCAACATTGTTATAACCACCAATATTGTTATTTCAACCCCCCCTTTACTGAAAAAGCTAAAATCAGCGGAAATTATGTATGCATTCGACTGAATTATAACGGTGGAAATATCAACAGACGATTTCACTGGCTAGGACTTTCCCTCTATATTATCATTATTATTTATCCCTTGGGTTCCTAATGGAACATAGGGCTTCACTTGCACGTCTCCATTCTACTCTGTTCTCTGAAATCTTTTGGACCTGGCTCCACGACAGCCCAAATGCTCTCATTTCCTCCTCGCACGACCTCCTCCATGTCACCCTCGGACGCCCAACTTGTCGCTTTCCATCGGGGTTCCACTCGAGGGCCTGACGCGTGATGCCCCAGTCGACCTTCTCAGTGTATGCCCAATCCATCTCCACTTCCTTCTGCATAACTTTCCCTCTAGTCTAGTCAAAAATCGACAGTTATCACTCCTATGTTACCTCCAACTGTGTATATCAATCTACGTGTAGCTACCGAAAAGCATGCAAAGGAAGAACACAAAGAAGGTGTATCTTAGATTTTCTAAACATACTCCAAAGAGTCTACGACTGAAGAGAAGTAACATTTTGTATAGTGCAACTACTCAGCATCTGATTGACATTGGGCATCAAGTAGACGTTTTCAATTCCTTCAAGAAAATAAGCAAACCTGATTCCATTGAAGTTTATCGAAGTCATAATCATTAAACGTTTCTAGCCTGATTTCTATGTTCAAAAAGATGTTGTCAACTTTGGCCTTCCTTGGTAACGATTCTTGACTGTAATTTGATTACACCATCCTTTAACAAATTTCAACGTTTATTCCTTCATTCTAATGTAACTCCATCATCTTTTGTTCAGATCGAATATTATTAACTAGTTCAGTTTAACTCACTGATAATACTTTGCTTATCTATTGTATAACCTATCTATGTAAATCCCCTGTCTATTTGGATTGTTATACCTTTCCTAATTTTTATTTGATAGATAATAATAATAATTTGGAGAAACATTGAAAATCTGGGACCAATGGGCAGACATGAGAAGTCTTCAGGTGTTTGACCACCGTTGCCTTCGTAGTATACGCCGCCGTATTCCATGGTGTCACCACGTGAGTAACGCAGAAGTCAGGAGTAGAGTTTTAGGGAGCAGAGGTAAGGCGGTTGGCAAGGTTGTAAACCGTCATCAACTGAGATGGTTGAGACACGTGTTATGTATGCCCAGTCACCGATTGACTCATCACACAATGTTGGCTGAAGTAGGTTCAGGCTGGAAAAAGGCCCGGGGTCGCCAGACCAAAACATGACACCAATGCATGAAGTCTCTCACTATTGGTTTGAGCTATGTGGGACGATGCAGATTAGGTGGTTGGTGTCCGCGGGACAAGAGGAAGCAGTGGTTGGAGACTCTAGGTGATCACATGGCTCAGAACCGTTGTCAGTGGTGCAGACGTATACATACATTATCCTCATCTTGACGACACTATACCGAATCTCACCATTTTTTCACTCTTCCTTTCTCTCTTCTCGTACTTTATATTTCTTTTGATTGAATTTTCTTATCTTCATCTTGCGCCTCACTGCCTTTTTACTTGATGTACTGATATGAGGTGTATCAAATCGGACCGTTACGCAGTAATGCCTGGTCCTAGGTTGATCTGGATGGATGGACTGGACAAATGTTTCGTCCCAGTACAGGACAAGTAATTTAAACATTCTTCAATATCACTTAATCAAATAAAAGTAGGTATAAAGATGATTGATGAAAAACTTTAGAGCAAAGAAATGGGTGTTGTAGATACATTTCTTCTAAAATCGAATCTTCTTTTTTTCAATTCAGTGAATACGCTTAACATTTATGCATACTGATACATATCTTAGCAACACAGGTCCATGAATATATGAATTTCGACTACGGTAAGTAAAGACTTAAAAAATGAACAAATTTCTAGAATCCTACAGAAGAAATATGATCATTAATTGCTCACTCATAAGTGAATACTCCAAGGCTGATAAATTGAAGATAATTCTACTGAAAGAATAACTTCATATACCAAATCACAGGAGGTGACTATGAAAATCAAAATTAGTGAACACTAATGAAAGTGAACGAAATCGAAATGCACATAGAAATAACATACATATCTATGCAACAGCTACATCTCTTTAGATGGAGTAGGATTCGAACCCGTCGTCTATTTATTACAAAAACGTCTACATAAAAACCCAGTGAATAACACCCCCTAGAGTGTGGTACAATAACATCAATTCACATGACAACGCACATTATTAACAATTAGCTGAGAGTAAAACAAAAACGGGAAAAAAAATCGATCGAATGCTTTAGAAGAATGAAACGTTTATTCCCCATCCAAACAGGTCAAGTTGTGTTAAAAATTACTAATCTCTAGAAATTCTAGTATTTCTTTAACTGACATGAGAATATCTAGAAAATCATGTTAAAGTACTTTTGAATATGAAGAAATGCATTTATCATCATCTCAGTATATAAGTATGCTTAATCATTAGGTAAGATGATGTAAAATATACATTTTCACTTACTTCACTAACTTTATGTCGTTCAATGACAACACGTCGTTGAAAATAACGTCGATACTTTTTACCGTTCGCTTCAATTACCTCATAAACATCTTCTGTATCAGATTTTACTTCAGAATGACAAATAGGTGATTGATTATCATTAATTGATTCAGTAATCGGTTCATGACAGACTAATCCATGTGTAATTGAACGATTTTCATCAGTTGGATTGAAATTAGTAGTAAAAGTAGTAGCCTTTCCAGTAATCCAGCTACTTGTACTTGGTGTAGATGTAATTAAGGAGTTTTCAAGCTGAAAAGAAAACATAGTAGGGAGAAAGTTTTATTTAGAAAACGTTGATAACCCTTAGGAAATTGTTAGTTGTATTCTCAGAAGAAGAAGAGAGAAGAAAAGACATAAATATACAAACAAAGAGGGTAAAAATAAACAACATGTGTGGGCATGCATATGTGGATGATTGGTAAACAAGTTTATCATCTATTGAAACTTATAAACAATTGATGAATTCAACATTTCAATTTCGAGATTTTTGGGGATTAATCTATTGATTTCAGGATGATATTCAACAGGAATCGATATCAGCTGGAGAACTTTTTGATACCTGCGAGGATTGGCTGCAGAACCTAAAGGTCGTGGGTTCGACCCCTGACATGGTCATTGGGTGCGCACTGCTGATGAGTTGCAAACCAGGACGAAACAGCTGTCTAATTCAATATTTGTTTGTAAAACAGAAAGTGTTACCAATCTTAATTTAGTGATTGATGAAATAATCAAGAGGTTATAAACATTTAGAAAGGAAAAACTCTTGACTAATTAAAAGGAAAGACAAAATGATGCATTTCCATTCATATCTACAATTGATATCGAAACGTTATCCAGTAAATAATATTCTTTCATCACTGTGTAACATTTCTAATAGACGGACTAAAATGGAATTACAATCCACCGCATTTTACTCCTATATTAATGAAACATGGTCATCCTATTCAAAGATTAATCAACACACTGACACAACTTTCATAGACACGAGATAGTTACATATACCATCGTATATTCAATATTCATTGTCTTAGAAATCAAGTCATTCCTAATAAAGCAAGATCACCTACTCTCAAAAAGAAAAAAAAACTCAAATTAAGAAAGAAGTTCAACAAACTTATGGAAGAAATTTGCAATAGCACATCATCAATGATTGAATCAACAAATAAAAATGCATTGTCAAGGTCTCAACTAGAATCTTAGGCTCAATAGAGGTAAAAGAGCTAGAAAAAGGCTTTAACCAGGAAGGGAAGTTCATAGGAACCTTCAAAATGATAACAACATAGTAATTACCAAATCGGATAAAGGTAACTTAACAGTTGTAATGAATAAATCTGTGAATAAACATATAGAAACAAGACCATATAAAGATATTAAGCAACTAATGGATATGATTATGAATAAGGTCAAGAAATCCACATAGGATATGATGTGCCAAATGAAACCATTTCTAGATGAGTTAAAACTAATATTCCCAGTACAATTTACGGTACTATTAAGATTCATAAATCAGATTATCGCCTCAGGCCTATAATAGATTGTAAACGCTTCGACTTATGAATTGTTTAAATGTTTAGCAATGGTACTAGGTCCAGTTATAAACTACTCTAAACCATGACTTACTAACTCTTATGACTTCAAGCATAGATTAGATGATATATAGATCTATAACAGTAAAATATGGTTATTTTTGATATTACTAACCTTTACATGAACATACCAATCGGCATGGCTCTGTAGGTAGTCAGAAATGGGCTTAAGGATGACAATGAGCTTACGCAACGAACTAAGGTGCCAATCGAGGAAACCATGTTAGAAGTACGATTATGACCGATGTTTACAGTTTATAAGTTTCAAAGTAAAATATATAAACAAACTGAAAGGGTTTGCCATAAGATCACTAATACCCCCAGTCGTAGCGGAATAATTCATGGATAGTTGGTAAAAGATGGCCCTTCAAACATTTAGTCCTACTTCAAAGATATGGTTCCAACTAGGTAAAGTACAGTCGAATTTGTATACTAAGCTGTAAGAGCGTACAGTCTTATGTAGTTTCTTCTTATCCTCCCTGAGGATATACATAGGGAAAGCTGTGAATGAAGTGGATACTCAGTTTCAGTTAAAATTTCTGTAGTTAGTTGCTTGCTAGGACTTAAATGCCTGTGAACTACAGTGTTAATCAGTTGAGCTAGAGGTACACCACTCATCCTGCTGACAGCTTTCAGACCTAAGCAACATAACATTGTCCTTTTTTAGAAGACCAGGAAAGATGAATATGGAAAAATACAGAAGAATAGGTAAAATATAAGAATTAATTAATTGTAAAAGAAGACGTTGGGTTATACCAGAAAGCCTTAGTTTCTTTATGTAATAAGTTAAACGAAAGATTTTCTCAGAAGTCAACAAGATATGAGACGACCAACAGAGGTCAGAAGTAAAACTCAACCCAAGATAGTAAACACTCGATTTACTTTCTTCAGAAATACCATCAACGTAACAGGCATAATAAGACTTAAAAAGCTCACACAAGTCTGAGGCTAAAGTCAAGTCTGACACTTAGAAGGGTTTAACTTGAGACCATTTGAGAAAGACCATTGGCCTATTACAGGCAAGAATCCATTTAATTTCGAGCAATCCAAAAAAGAGTTTACTGGAATAGACACTGTCAGGTCATCAGCATACTTAATAAAAAATTTTTCAACCGAATAAAGTAAATAGTGCAAAAAGAATGCAAACAGAAACGGAGAAAGTACTGCACCTTGAGACACACCAGCTTCAGTAAGCAATGAAGTGGAGCACCTCCCATTATAGACACTGTATGATTTCTTTTCAGAAAAAGAAAAATACAGCCAATGTGTAACTCATTACATTACTCAGTGTAAACTATGACAAGCTGATTTAACAAGAGTGGTGTAGTAACGGAGTCAAAGGCTGATGAGTAATCCAAAAAGGCATAACGAACATACTTAACACCTTTGTGTAGACTAGAAACAATATTAGGATGCAAGACAGTGATAGAATCTAAAGTACTTCTTCTGTGTTTGTAAGCAAACTGTTTTGGATCTCTGAAAGCCATCAATGAAGGCTCAATCACAAGAGAAGCAGTTTCTCCACTGTTTTCAGAGAAGAGGAAGTTACAGCGATGGGTCGAAATATAACATCTGATCTACAACATTACTTAGGAACAGGTACAATTTTGATCTTCTTCCAAGCAGTGGGTATTATGTTTTTAGAAAACGATGCATTGAAGATATCTGTAAGTGGATGACACAAAATATCTGCACATTTTCTAAATATAATACTAGAAACAACATCAAGACCCAAACTTTGAGATGGATTCAAGGATTTTAGACATTTAAATACATTGTGTGTATTAAAACCTGGAAAGCAGCTATCCATTTGACTTTGGACATCAGGAAGGGTGAAATCAGCTTGCCAACATATAAATGACTTGTTTAACGCTCAGATATCCGAACAAGCTTATTTTATCATCTGTTTTCTACCAGTAAGCTTTTAAATAATTTCCATATATTGGTAGAGTTCCTACACGATAGGAACTTCCGGTTGTATATAGTATTCAGACGTTGTACTTCAGACTTAATTAGACAGTTAAGTCTTTTAATGCCAGGGTGATCTCTCACCTTATAAAACCTTTCCTTTTCTCTTCGAAGCCTCTTGAGATGAGGAGAGGAAAATCTGTTGAATCTCATGTAGATTGTTTCAGAAGGGGAGCAGATATCGAGACAGAGTCTGAGATAGTTTGAGGTATTGGTGATAATGTTGTCTAAAACTTCATCAGCAAATATATCCCAGTCTGTTTCTATAAACAATGCTTCTCAAACGTAATATATTTTCTTGTGAATAGCATCTGTATTGAACTTTTTTGGAAAGGTATCCGAAAGCTTTCTTTAGGCACAACACTTACAATAGTGTTCAAAATTTAGCAGCGGAGTCTAAAGCTTCATATATGCCAGATTCATTTGTAAATACTAAGTCTAGGGTGTTGTCAGGACGAGTGGAAAAGTTAACCATATTTTTATGACCCAATGATACTAGAAAACTGCAGTCACATGAGTTAAAATCTCCACATACTATAGACAAGGAGTTACCCAGAACGGGAACAGCTAATTCAGTGAATTCATCAGCAAAAGTAGACAAATCTGAGAAACTGCAGTCAGGTGTGACATAAATGTTTGGGATGACACTTAATGGTAATGCACTCAATTTTCTCATTAGAGAAGCAGAAGCATAGATAGTTGGAGGTGGACCAGTTTGCATTGATGAATGTTGCTACACTACTGATCCCTGGAAAAGCTTCGATTTTGTTGAAATAATTAGAAACCATTCAAGCAGACTAAATCATCATCATACAGGTTATGAAACCATGTTTCCTGCAGCATTATTAGACCCATGTTTCGATAAACATTTGTGGACAAGAGTAACTAAAGATAGTCAACTTTATTCGGCAACGACCTGCAGTTTGTGCTAAGTATTTCCAGAATAGTCATTTGGTCTGGGGTCATAAGTTTGAGAGCCCGTTGCCATCCACCGTAATGCTTCTTCTTAAATTTTCTATCAACTTGCAAAGCGATGGGTTGTAATGATTTTAAAAACGCGCGAGAATGTAAAATACGATTGGTTGACATAATTGAACGATTAAAACAAAATAGAAATGAGAAATTCGATGCAATATATTCTGAGATTAAAAAAAAAGGTAGCCCAGATTTCAAGTAGGCCGCAGTGATGAAGGTGAACTAGAAATGTTAGAATGCAAGATTAAATGAAAACAAATTACATGAATATGGATAATAAATTGTGTCCAAAATCCTATCCAGTAAATAATACGGTGCCCAAGTTTTCTTTGTAAAACAAATAGTGTTACCACTCTTAATTTAATGATTGACGAAATATTCAATAAACCAATAAATAAAAATGTTTACAAAGTTAATTTTTCTAAAAAGATGAAATTGGTAGACAAAATTTCTGAACAATTAAACATCAAGAGGTTATAAACACTTGGAAAGAAAAAAAAATTTAACTACTAAAAGAAAAGATTAAATGATGCGTTTTTATTTCATATCTACACTCCTCTATGTAGTGTACTGTACAAAACACTTCAATTGTTTTCAATGGAATAATTTCTAAACTATGAAGTAAATTGTTTTAATGGTCTGTTATATATGGTGTAGAGGTGTATTCAACCATTTGAAACAATCGAAAATAATCGGCTCTATACTGAAGACAAAACGAAA